CAATATGACTCGTGGTTGTGTACTTATTGTCTTGTCATACTCGTTTTTTTTCTCACTCTCTCTCTCTCTCTCTCTCTCTCTCTCTCTCTCTCTCTCTCTCTTTCTCTCTCTCTCTCTCTCTCTCTCTCTCTCTCTCTCTCTATTCCGTTTGAAATATAAAAAACTGTTTTTTTTACGTCCCCTCCTTCCCCTAATTTAGGTATTGTCTCTGCAACAGAATACATTGAATAAGGTTGATATACTTATCATTTCTATATAAAAACTGACATTACTTCCGTACCCGTATTGTTTTTTACATAAGCGCACATGCATGGTGACCTCGAGAAAAATTTTGCACCCCAATCTATTTTTATGAGTTAATTGTTTTTTGTGCATCGAGCTGTTAATATCCGGTAACTGATTTCTTTCTATTGTTTTTTGCCACAAAATTTCACAACTCCGATAGGTATCCCAAATATAACTTTAGATTTTGATAATTTGCTTGACAATACAATACACAATACATTTTATTACATATAAACAAACATACAAATTAGAGCTACACATTTGTGAGTTTGTTGTTTTTGTACTTGTATCATAAAATGAAGAATATAATATTTGCTTTGCCCGTAATTCTATTGTCAATTTTTAATAATTATCTAAAATTGTTCGCATATGATTATAATTGAATTCGGTCACAAACAATTCATTGTAAGTTTGATTGCAATAGGTAAAGGTGGTGGGGGAAATAGACTTTGAAGTGGAGGGGGGGGAAGAAAGAGAGGACGGTTTCACATCATTTCATGTATCTCATTCGTTTTTATTTCATAAGATTTACGAACATAGGTTTGTCCCATGTATATTCAAGGGATAACAAAAACACACAATATTTTTGTGACTTTTTCTAGCTTGAGTTTTTTCCTCTCTCTCTCTCTCTCTCTGTCTCTCTCTCTCTCTATATATATATATATATATATATATATATATATATATATATATTGTCCTCTTCTCCCTCTCTGCCTACGGTTTACCGGGCAGTTCTATTTGAGGATATATATATATATATATCGATTTACTTTTCTATCTACCTATTTATCTATCTATATACTCTGGCAATATAAAAATGATGATAAACATCATTCCTATACATAGCGATCATTTGTCATTTCTACTTAACTCCTATAAAACTGTTGTGTTGATTACATCGCGCGCAGAGGTTTGGTAAAACCTGCGTGAAATCGTGGTACTGCCTTGTCTGCCACATAACTCAACCCATCCAATTTGAATATGTTGAAGTTCATGCAAGCGTCTCATGCTCTAGCAGAATTCACAGTTGCCCTTTTTATGTCGCTCATTTCTTCAATGGTTTTTTCTGCCGATCTAACCTTCTTCGTCATAAATATGTCACGTCTGATGACCATCCTGCAAAATGTAAGTTGTTGCACTAACAGTCCAATACCTTGCCCTGCTCTCTCATGTTGAAATACATTCAACAAAGCTGCCATAAATGCAAAATTTCCCCAAGGCTTATTTTCTTAACTGCTCCATATGTGATTGCTACCCATCTCTTTTCAATGATCATTTATCTGTTATTTTCATATATCATTCTGCAACAAACGCACGATGGGGCATTTCGTTTCAACCCAAAACCACTATTSTAGCTTTGCGGATATCTCTCCTCRAACTTTTGTCATACAACGGTTGCACTCCACCAAARCYTCCCTTGTTCCTCGTTGAGCAATATATTGAGCAAAAYTCTGAGCTGCCCATTTGACGAGTCTTATGGCGACAACCTCTATTATTCGCAAATAGTCGTCCTCTGATGGGTACATGTGAGAGTCGTATGCAGAGTCGAATGTGTATGCTTTAGACATAGCCTGAAACAACTTAACATTTATGTTTTTGCTTCATTGACAGTCAGGTATAATTTTATTTCCCTCTCTCTTTCTTTTCTTTGAAACATATGTGTTCCTCGTTTGAACTTCTCCATCCTCTGTTTCAATCATAAACAAGTTTGTCAAACAATTGCACGTGCAAAGTCATAAGTGAGATGCAAGAAAACCAAATAAAATTCATCGCGAATAACAAATGCATAAATTAATGTTTTTTATTTTGTATTTGTTATTGGACTTTATATAATTTTGGTTAACCGCTGGATGGTTGGGTGAGTCTTTCACAAATTCACCTACATTCAGAAGAAAAAAACATGTTCAATGATTGTGTCTGTACACGAGGATAACTACCACTGACGAATTCCACATATCTCGAAAACTGTTATGTATAGACTTTGGTCTATCTTTCACAAATTTCTTTTACAAACTTTCCTTCGGTCTACGGGTTGATTTGTTTCAACGAGTTTATAAAAGAATGACGAATATACATACATAGCCATGTCACGTTTTTCATTGCAAGATGCACATTGTGTCCTAAATGTCACATGGTCGTGG